AAAAAAAAAAAGGGAAAAATCTGTGGGGTTTCAGGGGTTTTTGGGGTTTGTGAGCGCGGAAATTTGAAAATTCGGGAATTTCAAAAGTCGAGAATTCCAACGTTCGAAAATTCCAAAATTCCGGGCCCTGAAGGATCAGGGGGGGGAGCCCCAATGGGAAGGAGGGAACCCCAAAAACTGAGCTGACCCCAAAACCCATCGGGTCCCTGACTCCAAGGGCAGGAGTGACCCCCCAAAAATTTGGGGAGACCCCTCCCCAAAACCCCCTCTGTCACTCACGGTGGGGGTGACGGGGACGCCGTGGTGGCCTCGGGGGGGGACTCGGAGCGGCGTCGGCGCCTCAGGTGTCGCCGGCGTGGGCGTGGCTCGTCCTGGGCGTGGTCCTGGGCGGGGCCCGGCCCCTCCTCGTCGCTCTCCACCAATCGGTAGCCGCGGTTTTGCCGCTGCAGCTCCAGCGCCGCCCGCTCGGCCGCGCGCCCGGGGGGCTCCCGGGGGGCTTCCCGTGGCACCTGGGGGTGGGGGAGGGGTCAGGACACGCCCAGGGGCCACGCCCAGTGTGGGTGCGCACACCTGAGCGCGGCCCAAAATGGCTGTGCCCTGCTTGGCCACACTCAAAATGGCGCCACCCATTTGGCCACACTCAAAATGGCGCCACCTACTTGACAGCATCCAAAATGGCGCCACCCATTTGACAACACCCAAAATGGCGCCACTCACTTGACTGTACCCAAAATGGCTTAACTCACCTGAGCGCACCCAAAATGGCGCCACCTGGCCACACCCAAAATGGCCACACACTCCTTGACCACACCCAAAATGGCGCCACCCACTTGACCGCACCCAAAATGGCCACACACTCCTTGACCACAGCCAAAATGGCCACGCCCTGCTTTACCACACCCAAAATGGCCACGCCTCACCTGACCACACCCGAAATGGCCGCGCCCCATGGGAACCCAGAGCCCATCCTGATTGGCTGCTCTGTGTGGGTGCCACGCCACCTTGTGGTGACGTCATCTTTAAGGTGGGTTAAACTGCTCCCCTCATGAGCGGCCCACACCGTGTTTGAAAGCCACGCCCCTTCTGGATTAGCCACGCCCTCAGCACCAACTACGGTGCGTTCAAACCACGTTCAGGCCACGCAGGCCACGTCCCTCACACAAGCCCCGCCCACCCGCCATTTTCGCGCCCCTTTCCTCCCCTCACGAATTCCCGCCCACCTTTTCCCAAAGCTGGCTCGCGAACTCGCGCACGCGCGGCTCCTCCACGCGCAGGGCCTCGGTCTCGCGCAGCCGCTCCAGCAGCTCCTCCAGGCTGCGGCTCCGCCGCGCCAGCGCCACCAGGAAAGCGGGGACATGGCGGGCGCTGAGGCCCAGCAGCTCCTGCAGCTGCCCGGACACCCAGCGTTCCAGGCCCGCCATCGCCGCCATGGCCGCTGCTCGGCTTCTTCCTTCTCCTCCCCTTCACGGAGCCGCCGTCCAATCAGCGTCCAGCACGGGGAGCCTCGGCCAATCAGCGCCCGGCTCGCTCCTCCCGCCCTCACGAGACGGGGGCGGGGCCAATTAGAGCGCGCGTCTCGCGAGGCCACGGGCGCTACCGGCAATACCGTAATGTCGCGAGCGCGCTCGCGGTTTACCGTAACGCCGCGTGGAGAAGCGCAGCTCGAAATGAGGAATTTGGGGACGCTTGGACCCAAAATTCCTTTAATTAAAAAATTCCTATTTTTTAACCCCGATTTATCCCTCAAAACCAATCGACCAATACGATTTATTCTCCCGGAATTCACTATAAAGGTTTTGGTTTTTTTTCCCCCACCCGCAACTCCACCCCTCCAAAATTCCCGTTTTCCTCCTCAAAATCTGAATTTTTTCCATCAAATCCCCCCCAAATCGCAACCCTGTCCCTCGAAGAATCTCCTTTTCTCTCAAGGATCTTCCATGTCGTTATCAAAACCACAATTTTAATTTTTTTTTTAGTTTTTTCTCAAAACGTTTTTACTATGAAAAAAAATCCCCAAACCCACCATTAAAAAAAAATAAAAGTTATTTTTTTATGCTTCCTTTAAATCCTTCTTTTTTTGGGAATGAGGCGCTGGAACCCCAAATTTTGGGGTACCTATCATTTCCTATTATTACAGATTGTTTCCTAATTATTATCAGTTATTTCACGATTATTAGTGATCTTTGGTAATTATTACCGGATAACTAATCATTGTTCCCAGTTATTAACAGCTATTTCCCCATAATTAGTCATTAATTTCAGTTATTAGCCGTTATTTCTCCATTATTAATCTTTATTTCCCAATTATTAGCCATTATTTCCAGTCAGTAGCGGTTATTCCCCATTATTAGCAGTAATTTCCTGATTGCTAATCATTATTTCTGTTACTATCCATTATTTCCCGATTATTAATTATTATTTCCCTAATAATTAGGAATTATTACTGCCGCTTTACGCCAAAATTATTAATTATTAGATATTGATTATTCTCCCCCATCTCCCCTTTATTTTGGATTTTTTCCCTATTTTTTGGAAGGAAAATTCCCAAATTTTTGGGGCAATTCCCACGTTTATCCCTACAAGCGAGCCACGCCCCTTCATCTACATAGCCCCGCCCCCTAATTATAATACGGTTGTCAATCATCCGCCATTTTCTCCGCCCTTTCCCGCCAAACCCACGCCCGCTCCCCTCATGGCTAAGCCCCGCCTTCCGCCGCTCTCAACCAATCAAAGCGCACACTGCGGGAGCATCAGCCAATCAGCGTTGTCGCTGGGGGAGGCTCACCCAATCAGCGTCCTCCTCGCGTAGGGGGGCGTGGCTTTGCGGCCGTGAGGGGGAGGGGGCGGCCGCCATGTTAGAGGCAGCTCAGGGCGAGCGGGCAGGGGGACGTATGGAGGCTATGGGGGTTCTATAGGGGCGATTTGGGGGGTCTGGAGGGTTCCAAATGGGTCTGGGGGCTTCTAAAAAGGGTCCGGATGGGATTTAGGGGGGGTTTGAGGGGGGTATAGAATAACGGGGCGGGTGCGCGTGTGGTTTTGGGGGGTGTAGGGCGGTATAGGGGAGGTATAGGGAGGATATAGGGGATATTTGGGGGGGGCTCAAAGGGTTTTTGGGACGTATGGAGGGTGTAGGGGCGGGTTCAAGGGAGGTTGGGGGGCGTTTCGTGGGATTTATGGGATCTATAGGGGAGGTTTTGGGGGGGGATATTGGGAATATCCGGAGTGGTTTCTGGGGATATCCGGAACCTATGGATTTTTTGGGGGCGGGGGAGGGGTTGGACTTATAGGGGATCTATAGGGGATTT